ATGGAACACCACCACCTGGAGGAATCCTACCACCACCAGGAGGAACACCTCACAACCACCAGGAACGGAGGAACACCACCCCACCACCACCTGGAGGAACTCGCACCACCAGGAGGAACACCACCACCGGGAGGAACACCACCCGGACACAGTCATCGCAGGACACCACTCCACCAGGAGGACACCACCACCTGGAGGAACACCACCACCCAGGAGGACACACCACCAGGAGGAACACCACCACCAGGAGGAACACCACACCACCACCAGGAGCCAACTCCACCGCCCATGGAGGGACTTCCACCACCGGAGGAACACCACCACACAGGAGAAACACACCACAGGGAACTCCACCACCAGAGATACTCCATCCACCAAGGTAGGAACACCACCACCCAGGAGGAACACCACCCACCTGAGGAACTGCCTAACCACCTGGAGACTCCGATACCAGGAAGGAAACACCACCAAGAGAACACCACCACCAGGAGGAACTTCACCACCTGGGAGGAAACTCCACCACAAGCGGAGGACTCCTACCACCAGGGAGGAACTCCACCACCTGTGAGGAACTTCCACCAACCTGGGGAAACACCACCACCAGGAGGAACAACCACCACCTGGGCAGGTAACACCACCACCAGGAGGGAACACAACCTACCTGGAGGAACACACCACCTGGAGAAAACACCACCACCAGGAAACCACCACCACCCACGCACCTGGAGGAACACCACCAGCCGGAGCGAGGAGGAACACCACCACAGGAGGAACTCCCACCACCACACCAGGGGAACACCTACCACGTGGCAGGAACACCACCACCGGGAGGAACACCCACCCAGAGGAACTCACCACCTGGAGGAAAACTCCACCACCTGAGAACTCCGACCACCTGGAGGAACACCACCAGGAGGAACACCAACCGACACCAGGAGGAACATCACCAGGACCACAGGAGGAACACCACCACCAGGAGGACACTTCACCACCGGAGGAACACCACCACCACCCACCACCAGGAGGAACTCCACCACAAGGAGGAACTCCACCACCAGGAGGAACACCACCACCAGGAGGAACACCACCACCTGGAGGAACTCCACCACCTGGAGGAACACCACCACCATGAGGAACACCACCACCGAGAGGAACACCACCACCAGGAGGAACACCACCACCAGGAGGAACACCACCTACCAACCATTCACCAGGGAGGAACACTCCACCACCAGGCCACCACACCACCTGGAGGAAACACCACCACACCACCACATGAGGAGGAATCACCACCTGGAGAGCACCACACCCATGCACAGGCAGGAACCACCACTCACCAGGAGGAACCACTACCACCAGGAGCCACACCACCACCGGAGGAACACGGCTCGAGCGCCACCACCAGGAATTAACTCGACACCACGGGAGGGCACAACCACCAGCCACGGGAGGAACACCCACCACACACCACGGAGGAACACCACCACCGGGAAGGAACTACCACTCCACCAGGAGGATACACCACACCGGGAGGGACCACCATCGGGAGGAACTCCACCACCGTAGGAACTGGGCCACCACCCAGTGAGCCAACTCCACACCCAGATGAACAACCACCGACCAGGAAGGAACACCACCACAAGGACGGTGAACTCCTCCTACCAAACCAGGAGAAGGACACCACCACCGGAGGAACTACCGATACACCAACCACCAGGAGGAACACCACCACCAGGAGAACTACTCTACCCACAGGAGGAACAGGAGGACACCACCACCGGGAACACCAAGGAACACCAACTCACCGGAGGAACACCACCACCTGGAGGAACTCCACCACCAGGAGAGAACACCACCCACCGGAGGAACTCCACCACCAGGAGGAACTCCACCACGGAAACACCACCACCAGGAGGAACACCACCACAGGAGGAAACTCACAGCCACCCTGCGCACCCCCCCACTTGCACCACCCATAAGGCGCTGGGGAACTCCCACCACCAGGAGGAACACCACCACCAAGAGGAACACCACCACCGGGAGGCGACCTCACCACCACCAGGAGGAACACCACCACCGGGCAGAGGAAACTCACCAGGGCAGGAACACCACCACCAGGAGGAACACCACCACCTGGGGAACACCACCACCAGGAGGAACACCACCACCAAGGAGGAACACCACCACCAGGAGAACTCCACCACCTGGAGGAACACCACCACCGGGAGGAACTCCACCACCAGGAGGAACTCCACCACCAGGAGGAACACCACCACCTGGAGGAACTCCACCACCAGGAGGAAACCACCACCGGGAGGAACTCCATCACCGGGAGGAACTCCACTACCAGGAGGAACACCACCACCAGGAGGAACACCACCACCAGGAGGAACTCCACCACCTGGAGGAACTCCACCACAAGGAGGAACTCCACCACCAGGAGGAACTCCACCACCAGGAGGAACCACCACCAGGAGGAACACCACCACCAGGAGGAACACACCACCGGGAGGAACACCACCTACCAGGAGGAACACCACCACCTGGAGGAACACCACCACCTGGAGGAACACCACCACCAGGAGGAACACCACACCTGGGAGGAACACCACCACCTGGAGGAACACCACCACCTGGAGGAACACCACCACCAGGAGGAAACACCACCACAGGAGGAACTCCACCACCAGGAGGAACACCACCGCACACCACCGGGAGGAACACCACCACCGGGAGGAACTCCACCACCAGGAGGAAATCCACCACCTGGAACTCGGAGGAACACCCTGGAGGAACACAACCACCAGGAGGAACACCACCACCGGGAGGAACACCACCTACCGGGAGAACACCCACCACCAGGAGGAACAACCCCACCACCAGGAGGAACTCCACCCGGGAGGAACCCACCAGGGATGGAACACCACCACCGGAGGAACTCCACCCAGGGGAACTCACACCACCAGGAGGAACACCACCAGGACCCACCACCTGGAGGAACTCCACCACCAGGAGGAACACGCACCACCAGGAGGAACTCCACCACCAGGAGGAACACCACCACCCGGAGGAACACCACCACCGGGAGGAACACCACCATCCAGGAGGAACTCCACCACCAGGAGGAACACCACCACCAGGAGGAAACACCACCCACCAGGAGGAAACCAAACCACCAGGAGGATACCACCACCAGGTAGGAAACTCCACCCACCAGGGAGGAACACTCAAACCACCTGGAGGAACTCCCACCACAACCCAGGAGGAAAAGCATCCAACCACCGGAGGAACACCTAACCACCGGTAGGAACACCCCCACCAGGAAGGAACTCCAACCCACCAGGAGGTTAAACAGCCACCACCAAGGAGAACACCACCACCAGGAGGAACACCACCACCAGGAGGAACACCAACCACCAAGTGAGGAACTCCATCCACCAGGAGGAACACCACCGACCTGGAGGAACACCACCACTTGGAGGAACACCACCACCAGGAGGGAACACCACCACCAGGAGAAGCACCACCACCAAGGAGACCCACCGACCAGGAGGAACATCCACACCAGGAGGAACACCACCACCTAGGAGGACACACCACCAAGGAGGAACACCAACCACACGGGAGGAAACACCACCATCAGGAGGAACTCCCACCACCAGGAGGAACACCACCACCTAGGAAGGAACTCCCACCTGGAGGAACTCCACCACCTGGAGAAAACACCAACCACCGGGAGGAAAACACCACGCACCAGGAGGAACACCACCACCAGGAGGAAACAACCACCTGGAGGGAACACCACCCTGGAGGAACACCACCCACCAGGAGGAACACCACACAAAGGAGGAAACTCCACCACCAAGGCAAGGAAAGCACCACCACGGGAGGAGCACCACCGACTCGGGAAGGACACCACACCAGGAGGAACACCACACCACCAGGAGGAACATCCACTTACGCCTAAGGAGGAACACCACCACCGGGAGGAACTCCACCCACCAGGAGTAACTACACACCACCAGGAGGAATCACCACCACACTTACATAATTCCAAGGAGAAGCACCATCCACCAAGAGGGAACACCACCACCAGGAGGAAACACCACCACCAGAGGAACATTACCTACCACAGGAGGAAACACCACCAACGGGAGGAACACCACCACCGGGAGGAACACCACACGCATGAGGAACACCGACCACCAGAAGGATACAATCCCCAACCAGGAAGGAAACTCCACCACTAGGAGGAACTCCCAGCATCCAATGGTAGGAACATCCACCGACCTGGTAGGAACACCACCCACTCGGGAGGAATCACCAAACCACCCAAGAGGAATCACCACCACAGAGGAACACCACCACCTGGAGGAACACCAACCTGTACCGGGAGGAACACCAGCTCGACCTGGAGGAAACGCCACCACCAAGGAAGGAACACCCACACCAGGAAGGAACTCCCAACCACCAGGAAGGATACACCACCTACGACGGGAGGAACACCACCAAACCTAGGAGGTAACATCCTACCACCAGGAGGAACAAACCACCACCAAGGAGGAACACCCCTACCGGGAGGAACACCACCTACCAGGAAGGAACCCACCACCGGGAAGGAAACATCCACAACTGGGAGGAACACCTACCACCAGAGGAACACCCACCACCTGGAGGGAAAACCACCACCAGGAGGAACACCACCACGCGGGGAGAACTCCCCAACCAGGAGGTAACTCCACACCAGGGAGGAACAGTCCAACCACCGGGAGGAAAAACCACCACCGGGAGGAACACCACCACCGATTGGGGGAGGAAACACCACGCCACCGGGAGGAACACCACCACGGAGGAACTACCTACCACCATGGAGAACACCACCACTCAGGAAGGAACTCCAACCACCAGGAAGGAACCCACCACCAGGAGGAACACCACCCACCGGGAGGAACACCATACATGACCAGCCCACCGGAGGAACATCACACCACCAGGAAGGAACACACCACCAGTGAGGAACCACCACCACCATGGGAGGAAACACCACCACCTGGAGGAACATCGCACCAACCAAGGAGGAACACCACCACCTGGATAGAACTGCCACCACCTAGGAGAACACCACCAGCCAGGAGGAAACACCACCAACTGAGGAACAACCACCACCTGGAGGAACACCACCACCTGGAGGGATACATGTCCACCACCGGGAGGATACACCAACACCGGGAGGAACACCACCACCAGGAGGAACACAACACCAGTGAATGAACTCCACCAACCTAGGTAGGAACACCACCACCAGAGGAACACCAACCACCAGAGGAACACCACCCCACCAGGAGGAAACTCCACCACCAGGAGGAAACAGGACCACCACCTGGAGGAAGCACCACCACGCTGGAGGAACACCACCACCAGAGGAACACCACCACCCAAGGAGGAAACACCCACCACCAGGAGGAAGACACCAACACAGGAGGACATCCACCAACCCAGGAGGAACACCACCCCAAAGGAGGAACACACACCAGGAGGAACTACCCACCACCGGGAGGAACACCACCATCAGGAGGAACATCCACCAACAAGGAGGAACACCACCACAGGAGGAACTCCAACACCACCTGGAGGAACTCCACCTACCTGGAGGAACAGCCACCACCGGAGGAACACCACCACAAAGGAGGAACACGCAAACACCTGGAGGGTGAACACAACTCACCAGGAGGAACACACCACCAGGAGGAACACCACCACCAGGAGGACACCTACCTACCAGGAGGAACTCCACCACTTAGGAGAACACCACACCATCCGGGAGGAACACCACCACCGGGAGGAACACAACCACCAGGAGGAACACCACCACCAGGAGGAACATCCACTACCAGGAGGATACACCACAACCTGTGCGGGAAGGAACTCCACCACCAGGAGGAACACCACAACCAGGAGGAACACCACCACCTAGAGGACACCAACTACCAGGAGGAAACACCACCACCAGGAGGAACAACCACCATCCAGGAGGAACCTCCACCGACCAGGAGAACTCCACCACTCAGGAGGAACACCACCACCAGGGAGGAACACCAACCACCAAGGAGGGTATACACCACCACCAGGAGATACACCACCACCAGGAGGAACACCACCACCAGGAGGAACAACCACCCACCAGGTAGGACAACCACCACCGGGAGGAAACACCAACCACCATAGGAGGAACACCACCACCAGGAGGATACATCCCCACCAGGCAAGAACTCCACCACTAGGAGGAACTCCACCACCAGGGAGGAACACCTACCCACCAGGAGGAAACACCCACGCTACCTGGAGGAACACCCACACCGGGAGGTAACACCACCACCAAGGAGGAAACCAACCACCAGGAGGGAAACACCACACCAGGAGGAACTTTCCACCACCCTGGAGGAACACCACCACCTGGAGGAACGCCAACCACCAGGAGGGAACACCACCACCAGGAGGAACTTCCACCACCAGAAGGAACACCTACCACCAGGAGGATAACGCACCACCAAGGTAGGAACACCCACCACCAGCGAAGGAACACTTGTCTGACCACCAGGAAGGAACACCAAACCACCAGGAGGACACCACGGCACCAGGAAGGAAACAGCTCACCACCGGGAGGAAAACACCACCACCAGGAAGGAACACCACCACCGGAGGTAACACCACCACTGGGAGGTAACACGCACCCAACCTGGAGGAACACCACCACTCTGGAATGGAACACCACGCACCAGTGAGGAACAGCACCACCACCAGGAGGAACTCCTATCCACCAGGAGGAACTCCACACCCAAGGAGGTAACACCACGACCGTGAGGAACACCACCACAGGAGGAACACCACCACCGGGAGGAAAACCACCACCTGGGAGGAACACCACCTACCAAGGAGGAAACACCACCACCGGGAGGCACCACCACCGGAGAAACACCACCACCGTGGGAAACTCACCACCTAGGAGGTGATCCATCCACCAGGAGGAACATCGCACCACCTGGAGGAACACTCACCACCGGGAAGGGAACACCACCGCACCGGGAGGAACACCAACCGACCAGGAGGAACTCCACCACCTGGAGGAAACATCCAACACACTGGAGGAATCTCCCACCAGCCTGGAGAAACTCCAACCACCGAGGAGGAAACTCCACCGAACCGGGAGGAAACACCACCACCCAGGAGAACACCACCTAAACAGGAGGAACACCTTAACCACCTGGAGGAAACTCCACCACCAGGAGGAACAACACCACCTGGAGGAACTCCACCACAAAGGAGGAACACTCACCACTAGGAGGAATCACTGAGATTGTGCACCACCTGAGGAAACACCACCACCTTGAGGAACACGGCAATCCCAAAACCAGGTAGGAACATCAACCACCGAGAACACCACCACAGGTAAG